AAAAAAAAAAAAAAGATTGTATCATCTGCATATCACAGGTTGCTAACAAGTCTTCCTCCAGTTCTGATGCCACAGTTTGCTTCATATAATCCAGCTTCTCGGATTGAATAGTATGGTGATAGAATATAATCCTGGCACACAACTTTCCTAATTTTAAACTACTCAGTATTTCCTTGTTTTGTTCGAACAACTGCCTCTTAGTCTATGTACGGGTTCCTCATGAGCACAATTGTTTTGGAATACTCATTCTCTGCAATACTGTCCATTGTTGTTGTTGTTGTTGTTGTTGTTATGTGCCGTGGAGTTGGTTCCGACTCATAGTGACCCTGTACAGGGCTTCTGAGGCTATAAATCTTTATGGGAGCAGAAAGCCTCATCTTTCTCTTGTAGTGGTAGTTTCAAACTGCTGACTGTGAGATTAGCAGCCCAATTCGTTATCACTACGCTACCAGAGCTCCTTAATATTGTCCATGTTATTGCTGTTGTTGTTGTTAAAGTGCTGTCAAGTTGATTCCAACCCATAACGACCCTGTATAGGGTTTCCGAGGAGCAGCTGGTGAGCTGGAACCAACAACTTTGCAGTTCAAATGTCTTTGCAGTCTGACGCATTAGCCCACAGCACCACACCAGGACTTCATAATATTGTCCATAGGCTATCTTAATTATCTAGTGTTGCTATAACAGAAACATGACAAGTGGGTATGGCTTTGAGGAACATATTTATTCACTCATAGTCCAAATTCAGAGTGCCAGCTCTAGGGAAAGGTCCTCATCTCCTTTCAGCATCTGTAGGCCCAGCGGCCCTTGAGATCTCCACGTGTCTCCACAGTGATCTTCCTCTGGTTCTGGGAGGTTCAGCGTATAGAGATCTCAGCTCCAATATGCGCACATTGCTTCTGGCTTTTCTTTCTTGGTGGTAGAAGGTCCCTCTCTCTCTGGTCACTTTTCTCTCCTTTTATCTCTTGTAAGATAAAAGGTGTTGCACCCCATCCTTAGTCTTCTTATTGGTTTATTGCATTAGATCACATCATGAGAGATTATCATATAACTGCCATGTTACATCATTACATAACTGCCAAACCACTGGGAATCATGGCCCAGCCAAATCAACACATATTTTAGGAAGATGGAGTTCAGTTCATGACAAAGCTGTAGCTCTGTATCTATGCCTCCACAATCAGAAGTCCAGCTAAGTAGCCCTTTCTGTCTGTTCCACACATGCTGGGAATTCCCTATAATTCACCAACTCGGTGGAAAATACCTGAGGGCCTGTTGCCGTCCTGTGTGTGTGTGTGTGTGTGTGTGTTGTGACTAGGGAGCGATCACACTGCTGTAGTCACTGGGTGTTTCCATGGTCAGTTCTGTCCTCATCCCTCACCCTTACTCTCTCAGAGCTAGTCACTATCCAGCTTAGCTTGTTCTGCTTTCTCGGCATCTCACACACACCCAGACATCCCCACTGTGACTGCTGCAGGTCAGCCTATCATCTCTCAACAGGATGGTTGCAAAATTCTCCCAATGTGTCTCCTGAGACCTCGGCTTGGCATTTCCCACACAACAGCCCCACTGTTCTTTCTCCACACAAATCTGAACACTGCCATCCTCACCCTAGAAAGGGTTCCACAAGTCCCCATGGTTCTGTGGGTCAAGTGCACAGTCCACTCCCACTTCAAAACACCATGTCTTCACCCATCAGAACCATCTGCATACTCCAGCTCTGGAGAACCCATGCAGGTTCCTGAATGTGTGAGCTCCTTCACGCACATCTAGGTCTCTCCATGTGCCTGTGTCTATTTACTCAAAGTATTTACTGAGTTCTACTGTCCTGGTATGGTGCTGTGGGATAATGCATCAGACTGCAAAGTCGTTTGAAGTGCAAGGTCGGTAGTTCAAGCTCACCAGCTGCTCCTTGGAAACCCTATACAGGATTGCTATGGGTTGGAATTGACTTGATGGCACTTAACAACAACAACAACAATAACTGTCCTGGTGTGGTGCTGTTGGTTAATGCACCAGACTGAAAAGCCATTTGAACTGCAAGGTCGGTAGTACAAGCTCACCAGGTGCTCCTCGACAGGGTCGCTATGGGTAGAAACCAACTTGACAGTACTTCAAAACAACAAATGTCCATGCATGGTGCTAGGCGTTGGGAATACAGCAATAAACAGTCCCAGAATACCTGTCACATCTCTCTGTAGGACACTGACTACTTGTTCTGTAGAATTGTTGTTGTTAAGAGCCTTCGAGTCAGTTCATATTCATAGAAACCCTATAGTCACATATTTATTCCTCCTGAAGACTTCACTGACCCCAAAGTGAACGAGGATCTTCTTCATACATGTCTCCTACTGCTGCCCCACATGGTTATTGTTGTTGTTAGCTGCCATCAGGTTGCCCCGACTCATGACAACCCCATGTTCACCAAAACAAAATGCTACCTGGTGGAGTACCATCCCATGACTGGTGATATCACAGACCATTGTAATTCACAGAATTCTCATTGGCTGAGATTCAGAAGCTCACCAAGACCTTTCTTCTGTTCTGTCTAAGAAGCTCTGCTAAAAGTTGCTTAGCAACATAGCAACTCCACTGATGGATGGGATAGTCGCTGCACAGGAGGTATATGGACCAGGAATAGAGTCTGGGTCTCCTGCATGGAAGGTAAGAATTCTGCCACTGAGCCACCACTTTCGTCAGTGGTAACTGCCTATATAATATCTGTCTGTCTCCAATCACGACTCATGGTGTGGTACTATAGGATAAGCACTGGACTGTTAACAGCAAGGCTGGCATTTCAAACCCACCAGCCACTCCTCAGAAACCCTATACAGAGAAACTGAGTCTGAACTGACTTGATGGTTCTTAACAACAACAACATTCCCAATTGACAAGATAGCAGAGATAGTGTCTTGCTCCTAGTGCTATGCCAGGCCACAGGATACGCCCAATAAATATTGGTTGTTTGAATAAATATATAAACCAATCCACATTTGTTGGCTGAAAGAATAGACAGACTGCTGTGTCCACCTGCTTATAAAAGTGCCCATAATCATACTGGAGGATAATTTATCCTGACACCTCTTTCAAAACTTGTCTCCAAACTCAAGGTTTTCAAATGTCCACATATCTAAGGCAGTGTCCAGCTCTGCACTGCTTTTGTCAGTGGGGTTCTTCCACCATGTCATCATGTATGTGCTGAAAGTCTCAAATGTTCTACATATTGCTCAAGAATTATGGAATGAGCTGCCATTCATTGGATACCTCCCCAGACCCCTTATATATTATTTGTTTAATCATTCTAAAGCCTTCACAGTAGTTGCTATACTCAGGTTTAGAAATGAGCAAAGGATGCTTCAAGCGTTCTCACATCCCCAAACTTCTGCTCCTTCCATATAGCCTTAGGTCCACCACCCATATCATCTAATTGCCCCTTTCTTTTAGATTTATTGTGGTACAATATATGAAACATAAAGTTGGCCAATTTAGCAATTTTTAAATGTGCAAATTCAGTGACATTAATTATTCACAGCATTGTGCAACTTTTATCACGAGCTACTTCCAAAACATTTCATCACCCCACACAGTACCCTTCCTATTCCCCCAGCCCGTTATCCTCAAATCCACTTTCTGTGTGTATGCATTTGATAAATGGATCTTTCACATAAGTGCAACCATACAATATCTGTCCTATTCTATATGAATTAATTCATATAGCATAATTGTTTTCAAGTTTCATCAATGCTGTAGCATGTATTAGAACTTCATTCCTTTTTATGGCTGAATAATATTCCACTGTGCGTGCATACATCACACTTTGTTTACACGCCCATCTACTGATGGACATTTAGGTTGCTCCTTCCCTTTGGCTAATGTGAATAGTGCAGCAATGGGCATTGATATTTACGTGTTAGTCTGAGTCCCCGTTTTCAAGTCTTCTGATGTCATTCTTATGAGCAGAATTGCAAGGCCATATGGTGGTTCTATGTTTAACATTTTTATGAACTACCAAACTGTTTCCCACAGCAGCTACACCACTTTACAACTTTACCAACAATGTATGAGGTAGCCCACTTCTCCACACCCTTACCAACACCTACATTTTCCATTTTTCTTACAACAACCATCTTCGTGGAGGTGAACTAGTCACATGAGTTTTCACTCAAGGCAATAACTGGGCTGTGTACACACTGCTGTTGTCATTATTAAGTGCTATTAAGTCAGTTTCGATTCATAGCGATTCTATATAGGGTTTCCAAGGAACGACTAGTGGGTTTGAATCTTCCATCTTGGTGTGCTTATACTACTGTGCCACACCAGGGCTCCTAGTGTGTACACTAGGCATTCAGTAAATGCAGACTACTCTTCCTCTGGCAGAACCTAAGTCCAGAGTTTCTGAACATTTGCAGTGCAGTGGGGCCTAAGCATCAGCATTTCTATAACTCACCCAGGCAATTCTAATGTGTAGTCAGGGCTGGAAACCTGTGTCTACGTTCCATGCCATTCTTTCAGGAGATTATAATTTTTATAATTAAACTCAGGCTTCAGCTGTATTTAAAGAACTTAGCTAAACCCACTGGAATTTTCCTTTCATTTCCTTGCTTAACTGTTTCTCTCTGATATCATTAACAAAAAACCACAGACACAACGTTCTGTCCCTCACAAATCAATTTATGAAACTGAACACGATGTGAGGAAAGAATAAAATCTAAAGATCCCGCGTCAGGGACTCACCTGATATCTGCAAAAGCGCTTATCGGCACCTTCAGGAGATGTGCCAGGTCCTCTATCAACTCCTTTCCCTTTCTCAGGCTCAGAGGGCTGTTGAAGGAGAGCAGAGGCGAGGGAGGAGGAGAGAGAGCGTTACAAAATGGAACTCATCAATACTTGAGAAGCTAAAAGTCCCCAAAGAGTTATCACCTTGGCCTCTGAGATTCTGAAAGCCACCCCTGCTCACTGTATTCCTGTCACATAGTGATCAGTACACCAGGGGAATTGGGATCAGGTGCTTCTTCAGGCATGATGAATCACCTGAATTTTCCAGCAATAAGACAAACAATAAGGTGCAAATGGAATTGTTAGGAAGTGTAATGGGCCCATGATGCAGCAAGAGGCTCATCTCAGCCTTCAATAAAAAATATAATACAGAGGGTGGGAGGGAAGGGAAGAAGAAAAAGGAGAGAGAAAACATGGTCGATGGTGAGAGGAGCAACTGCTGACAACAAAGTGCAAGACCGAGCAACTGCTGACAACAAAGTCCAGTGTACAGAGGTAATGCATATTTCAAAATGGATTCATTTCTCAAATGAATTCTACCACGATGAAAGGATATTGAAATCTTACATATTTAAGGGTAAACAATGAAGCACCATGGATGAGCCCACCACTAGCGATTCATTAAAGGAGGGTATAAATATTCTATGATGATACTATGGCCTAACAGACTCCCCAGCAGCCAGGCTATGTTTACATAAAAAGAGCTGGTTTATTAAGAGGCGCTGAGGAGTAATCATGTATAATTTGAAGTCCCAATTACAGATCCTGCAATTTAGTAGTCAGTTTGGCAAATCATGAGTTGCTTGTGAAATCCTGCTAGTACCACTTCAAAGAATTATTCAAATTATATTGCTATATTAACAATGATGTTGCACAGAAAAGGCTTTCAATCTAGCTGACCATTCATTCATTCAGCAAATGTTTAAGAATGCTCACTCGTCTCCAGGCACTGCTTAACCTAAGGGATAACACAATGAACAAAAAAAATCATGTTCTCAACTTCATGGAGCTTACATTCACAGGAGGGAAGACAAGCAACATAGATATTAACAAGTATAAGTAAATTAGGCTGATCACTGATAGAATCTAAGGGAAATTTTCCAACAGGTTAAGAGAGAAATTGGGGTATAGGGAGCAAATGTTAGACTATTTTTTTAAGAGTATTAGATAAATTGTCTCCCATAAGGGAATAACTAAACAGAACCCCTAGAACCTGAATTATGCATATCTATAGGAAGAGCTACACTTGATCTTAGCCAAAAGGCCGAGAAGCGACTCATTAACAACCTGAGATATGTAGATGATACAACCTTGCTTGCTGAAAGTGAAGAGGACTTAAAAAAATTTACTGTAATTCAATATGGATTACATCTCAATTTAAAGAAAACAAAACTCCTCACCACTGGACCAATAAACAACATTCTTATCAATGGAGAAAAGATTGAAGTTGTCAAGGACTTCATTCTTCTTGGATTAACTATCAACACTCACGGAAGTAGCAGTTAAGAAATCAAACAACATGTTGCATTAGGCAAATCTGCTGCACAAGACCTTTTTAAAGTGTTGAAGGGAAAAGATGTCAGCTTGAGGACTAAAGGGCGCCTGACCTAAGCCAGGGTATTTTCCATAACCTCATATACATGTGAAAGCTGGACAGTGAATAAGGAAGACCATAGAAGAATTGACACATTTGAGTTATGGTGTTGGAGGAGAATATTGAAAGTTCCATGGGCTGCCAATAGGACAAACAGATCCGTGTTGGAAGAAGTGAAGCCAGGATGCACATCCTTGGAGGCCAGGATGGCCAAACTTTGTCTCTCATACTTCGGACAAATTGTCAAGAGGGACCAGTCACTGGAGAAGGATATCATGTATGGTAAGGGTGAGGGTCAGACAAAAAGAGGAAGACCCCAATGAGACTGATTGGCCAACTAGCAGCATTGATGAACTCAAGCTTGGCAACAATAGTGAGGTTGGCCCAGGATCGGGCAGTGTTTCATTCTGCTGTGCATAGGGTCCCTATGAGTTGGTACTAACTAGATGGCACCTAACAATAACAACAACATAGGAAGAGCATTCCAGGCAATGAGAACAGAAATTACTAAGGCCCTGAGGCAAAAGTGTCTCTCATGAGCAAATGAAGACTCTAGACTCATGGAAAGAGCAAGACTGAGTGCTAGTGGCCAGAAGGCAGGCTTGCAGAAAGTGCCCTTTGGTTGTTTAAATTCTTATATATTCCTAAGTGTTTTTGTAGACATCACTCTCCCCAACCCCCTCCCCCACCAAAAAAAAACAAAAAACAACAACAACAACAAAAAAAAAAACAGAAGGAAAAGAAGCAAACACTGTTGAATGATGATGCTCAGAGGACACTGTAATCATTGCAACAAAATGATGGTGTAAAACCGATGTTCTCCTATATAAAGTATCACTCAACTCACAATAAAAACTTAAAAAAGTGTTTCTCTCATGGGCTCAAGGAACACTAGGGAGACTAGTGAGGTCAGTGTAGAGTTGAAGATGGGAGCATGAAGGAGAGAAAGGTGGCAAATAAATGGGAGCAGACAAGCCCAGGGCCTTTAAAGACTTGGTTTGTGGTGAGTGATAGGGAAAGCGATGGGGATTTGCAAGGGTCAGCCTAACTTCTTTAGTAAGAATAAAATGAGAGTGGGAATAAGGAAAACCAACAGAGCTCATTGTGAGAGAAAATTGTGATGGTTGGTGTCATATGTAGCAGAAGAGGCATGAGATTCAGTCAGGTTTAGGATTTATGTTAAAGTAGTGATGCCAGAATTTGTTGGTGAATAGACATTATGAAAGACAGGGAAACCAGAGGAAGACTAGGCGGAGAGTGGTGCTGATGATGACTCAAGAATGCTGTTTTGGACACATTAGCATGGAGATGACTATTAGACATCTAAGTTAAGACAGTGAGATATATGAGTTTAGAGTTCAGGGGAGTAGCTTGGGCTAGGGAGAAATGTTAGGGCATTGGCCTATGAATGGTATTAGAAGTCCAACAGTCTTAGACTGAGTCTTGGATTCTTGAATATTTATAGTCAGAGCGGTGAGGAGGAGAAGCCAACAAAGAGTGAAACAGAGTGTTCAGTGAAGTAATAAGTGAACTACAAAAGTAAGTTTCAAAAAGTGAACTTCAATAGTTAGTTGTGGAAGAACAAACAAGATGGCAGATCGGGTGGAAGTGCTGTAAGGAGCTCCATCAGCAACAACACAGAATACAGGACCAAACAGGCTCAGGGGATGGTCCCAGAACTCTGAACCACATATAAAGGAATATTTAGAAGGCTAGAAGGCTTACAACTGGGAGAATTTGTGGCAGAAGCAAGAAACCCATTGCTTTCTGGTTCGGGATGCTCAGCTGATCCAGGGGCCACCATCTCGGGTGAAACCAGGCAGGGGACAGATCAGAGCAGCCACGGATGCCTGACAGGGCCACGGAGATACAGGCATGGACGTTCTTTTCTTTTGGTATCTGTTCATTGGTCCCTTGCTGTCTGTTGCCTCCATTCTGGAGACTATAGGGGTGCCTGAGCTAGTGGATACCCTAGCCCCACCCTCGGAGGGTGGTAAATAGTGATGCATTATCAACCTTGGAATAACAGAGTTCTGGGATACAGGGATCTAGGTATAGCTTGAAGAAGGTAAATAATACTAAAATCCTTGACTACCTTATGAATATTAGTTTCCCTTGCCTACTATTGTAAAATAGACACTTGAATGGGATAGAAAGGAATGTTGAGAAACATGATCAGAGAAAACTTGGAAGCCTGTCTTCAGCCTATAACTTATTGGAATACCTAAAAGGGGTTCTACAACTTGCCCAGTGAAATAGGCCTCATGCAAAGCCTTTACAGAGTATAGGACCTTAGGTGGAATCCTGAGTCCCATCCAGAACTTTATGAGGTTGGACATCCCCACTAGGAAGGACAAGCAGACTGGAACAGCTACAGTGACAGAAGATACATCTTCATGATGAACCTGATCTATACTCAGAGCGGTAGTTACTCTAAATACCAATAGAAAGGGAAAGAGTCTTCATCAAATATCAATGCTATCCACTCTGTACACAGGGTAGATAGGGACGGGCAACTTAGACATTGGCTATCTAAAATGAGGGGGCAATAAAGGCACGAAGTGACTGGCTTACAAGGTTTCAAGAGGGAGTTTAGTTTAAGAGTATGGAGGGAAAGAAAGAGTCTCCACTGAATAGCTGTCATCTTGTCTAGATGGGTCTGGTGAAAAGAGATAGTGCTAAGATTCGTAAGATTCAATAGTGAATAATTGTTATCATGACTAATCACGACTGTCACAATTATAAAGGTAGAAGTTTTGTAACAAAAAAAGGGGAGTGGTTAATCTTACAGTCCAGAAACAGAGGACCCTATGACCATAAAGAGAGAAACGCACAAACAGAATGTGGGACCTTATCCAGAAGGAGCTCTGTTAGTGTAGTGGTTACGAATCGGACTGCGAACCGCAAGGTCAGCAGTTCGAAACTACCAGCTGCTCCGCGGGAGAAAGATGAGGTTTTCTGCTCCCGTAAAGATTTACAGCCTCAGAAACCCTGTACAGGGTCGCTATGGGTCGGAACCGACTCAACGGCATTTAACAACAACAACAACATCCAGAAAAGCAACAGCGCCAGAGATGGAGGCAGAGATGGGGGCATTAAGAGGGGGAGCGGCTGAGGACTCTAGATTCATGGACTAAGAAGAGAAGGACTAAGAGCTGGTGGCCAGAAGCAGACTTGCAGAATGTGCCCTTTGGAGATGTAATTTATTATATATGCCTGAGTGGGTTTGTTTGTTTGTTTGTTTGTTTGTTTGTTTGTTTTTTAAAAAAAGCTAAAGTGGATAGAGAGAAATACTGTTAAATGATGGTACATGGAGGGGATTTGTTGAATGTAAAACTGATGAAATGCCCTGTAAACTTTCACTCAATCCACAAAACCTTAAAAAAAAAAAAAAAAAATGAAAAGAAAAGAAACATTTGCAAATAGAAGGGAAAAAAAAGTTAGTTTCAAG